CTCCTATTATCAGATTTGCTAAAAATTTAGCTGGATTCAACATAGAACAGCATGTGGTGTGACTAACTCTCCTCTACATCTGCAATGCCTTCAAAAAGTTTATCCCAAAAAGAGTTATCATAGTGGTAAGGAAAATGCATCTGCACATACTCAGAAGAGCCATTTACTTTATTGTGACTTTGCATATTCTGGGATTTGGTTGGGGGAAGGGAAAGGAATGTGGTTTATTTAAAATTCCGTATTAGAACAGTTTGCAACTGTTTTCTTTTTATACAGCCCAGTTCCAAACATTAATTTTGCAGAATTCAAACATAATATGATTCATGTTCACAAATACACAGAAGCCTTTTTAACTTAGTGCGTGTGTTAAAGATTGGGAGTGAGATGGGGAGCTGTAATTAGTATAGAATGGCAAGTGCAGTCACTCAAGGCACAGCTGTCTAAACAGCACAGTAGAGGCTGAGTAGAGATCACCTAGGAAATCCAACAGCAGAAATATGTGTGTGGTGTATTCAAGAAAGTGGCCTTCACCCACGTCTGCATCTCTTACCTTATCTGATCACGCTACCCAGATTAGTGGCCTTTGGTACAGGGGAAGCTAGAGAGGAACTGCCCAACCCTGGTTTGTGCAGCTTCTAACAATACTGTTATTGTTGACCCTTTTCTATCTCCTGCCTTTGATATTAATGTATCTAAAATCTTTTCTTTATCTGTCATCCTATTATCCCTGCTTTAGTTTTGCGAAACCACCTCTGTCTCTCCCTCTTTCTGCCCTCCTTCACCTGTTTCTATTTGCACTCTCTCTGGACACCTTTAGCTCTCCTGTTTTGCATGAAGAATTGCTTTTCTAACATTCATAGTAGCATAGCTAGTCAGCGGTTCACAATCACAGGCATAATATAATATAGATATTCAGTTACTGCAGATGGGGGTGGAAGGGCAAAACATAAGTAGAAACATTAGTGAATAGCACAGCTGATAAACAATCCTTATCCATTGTCATTCTGTATTCAGCTTCTAGCGATTTATTTGGGTCTACAAACTATGAGGACATAACCAGTTTTTCTTTTGATTAAAGGTAAATCCTTAGTACATGTCTACTGGGTGCACTTGAGAAAAAAACAAGGTGCTCCCACTGATATTTCAGTTTCCACATTAAGATAAGTGAGGAGCAGATACAAAACATTTCTGATCTGCAAAATCAGATACATTAGGATCTGGCCATCTGCAGCCTCTCTCCCGGTATATTTCACCGTGTTCTCATATAAAGAAAGAAAGCAGGACAAGTGGGAGAGGTCAGTTTTTCTTGACATGAACAAATTAGCATGATGGGAATGAGAAGATCATTCCACTGCTTCCTTTTTTTTGATGGTGCTTGCCAGGAGCAAACAAAAACAGCTGGTAGAAAATAAACAATATGTTTGATTTGCTGACTGGATTGAGGAATATGACAACCCTAGTCCTTCTTCCATATGCCTTCTTTCTTCATTGGTGCATTGTCTTTTGCTTTCAGCTTAAGGCTGCAGTCCTTTGGGCTGTCATGTGTTAGTAAGCCTCGCTGAATTTATGGGATATGCTTCTGAGTAAACATGCATGAATTGTTAATATTGAAAATTAGAATAAAGCTGAAGAAAAACACCAAAACATTCATACTGCCAAAATGCAATCTAAAAATTCCTGAGGAGTGTAAAGGGCATGCAAAGAGCAGATTTGCATTGTTAAGTTCAAGTGAACACAAACCAGAAGAACCATGGGTTGAAACCTGAGATATTATCAAGGAAGAATACACAAAGACTATTCCTATAGTCAAAAGAAATGAAAGGCCTTGATGGATGACTGATGAAACTCTTAAAATTGCTACAGATAGATAAGAAGCATTAGTAAAAGGTGACAGAAATAGAATCAGAAGTCTAAATGCAGTGTTCCAGTGACTGCCATGTAGGTATTTATTTATATATTTATTTATTAAATTTCTACCCCGCCCTCACGCCGAAGCGGCTCAGGGTGGCTTACAAGCAATTTAAAACCAACATTCTGTTAAAACCAACAATTACAAAATATAAAATACAGTTCCATAAAATCCCAGCTAATACATCCCATGATAAAGTGCTAGTGCGACACCACCGGCGTAATCAGTTCTTATTGGAATGCCTGGTGAAACAGTTCCATTTTAACGGCTTTATGGAACTGCTGGAGGTCCCATAGAGCTCTAATCTCATGAGGGAGCTCATTCCACAGCATTGGCGCCGCCAGGGAGAACGCCCTGGTCCTAGTTACCGCTAACCTGGCGTCCCTAGGCCTGGGGGGGGGCAGATGGTTTTGCGTTCCCGATCGCAGGGCTCTTGGGGGAACATATGGGGAAAGGCGGTCCCTCAGGTAGGCAGGCCCCAGACCATTTAGGGCTTTAAAGGTCAAAACCAGCACCTTGAAGCAAATCCGGAACACTATTGGAAGCCAGTGCAATGACTTCAGCACAGGCTGGATGTGCTCCCACCTAGGGAGGCTCATCAACAGCCTGGCTGCCGCATTTTGCACCAGCTGTAGCTTCCGGAGTTGCCCCAAGGGCAGCCCCATGTAGAGAGCATTGCAGTAGTCTAGCCTTGAGGTGACCATTGCATGGATCACTGAAGCCAGATCATTGCGTTCAAGGAAGGGGACACTTTACTGCCATCTGGAACAGTTTGATTATTGTTGTTTGGTATTTATTGAAATGATATAGTGTATTTATTAAATCTTGTGAACTACCCTGAGCCCTGTTGGGGGAGGGTGGTCTAGAAATCTAAATAAATAAATATGTCAGACTCTGGTGTTGGGCTGGAGTCCAAGGCTGTCTCCTTCTCCAAGGTCTCTTTAGTAGGACCTGCCCTGGGGAAAGAATTTCAGAAAAGACAAAAGCAATGACTACTGAGAGATCACACAACTTCGAAGCTGATAATAAAGAAATTGAAATTGTCCAAGATTTTCTATTCCTTGGCTCAATCATCAACCAAAAGGGAGATTGCACCTAAGAAATCAGAAGGAAAATGAGACTGGGGAGGGCAGCCATGAAGAAGCTAGAAAAGATCAAGATCAAGGGTAAGGATGTGTCATTGGCAATCAAGATAATTCATACCAAGGCTATTTTGGGCAGGAACGCACAGGAACAGAGTTCCAGCTGGCTTCTGAGTTGGCCACACCCACTACAGCCAAAACCTCTGTGTGCGTGGCTACAGAGGGAAGGCCTGGAGAGCAACCCCCCATGACTCCAAGGTGGGTGGGCCGGGGGGGCTGGAAGGATTGGGGAGGCATTTAAATGCCTCCCTGTGCCTTCCCTGGCCTGTCCAAGGGCTGGCTTGTCTGGGCTCCCCACAGGTGCGGGGTACCCGGGCAAGCCAAGGGAAGGCAGTGTAAACTGCTTCCCCTCCAAGGGTCAGCTTGCCCGGACTCCCCGCAGCCACGGGGTGCCCAGGCAAGCCAAGGGAAGGGAGTTTAAACTGCCTTCCCTTCAAGGGGGGGTTTGCCCGGGCAAGCCAAGGGAAAGCATGGGGGTGTTGCCTAATATGCTAATGAGCTGTGGTGTCAGGGGTGTGCCCTGATATGCTAATAAGTTTCTGCTGGGCTTTTTCTACAAAAAAAGCCCCAATTCATACTATAGTATTCCCCATTACGACGTACTGGTATGAAAGTTGGATAGTGAAGAAAGCAGACAGGAAGTTGATGTATTTTAAATGTGGTGTTGCAGGAGAGTTTTACAGACCATCAAAAAGACCCATACATGGGTTCTAGAGCAAATCAATTTGCAAGAACCCAGTAAGGCTGTTGACAATAGGACATCTTGGAGGTCATTAATTCATAGGGTCGCCATAAGTTGGAAGTGACTTGATGGTACTCAACAGACATACAACACACACAGAATCGGGCTGTAGGTATTGTTATGCTCGGTGTTTGTATTTATTGCTGTCCTCATTTGATGGGATTATTATCTCTTTTTGTGCAGTGATAACTATTTCTCCAGTTGCTTGCCTTTGGTCTGTGTATTACGAGTCTTTCTAAAGAGTCTCCTGTTTTAAATGGCAATATATAGAAAGGACTAACCTCTTCATGTGTCTAACGCTTACCATGCTAATTAATAAGGTTTTTCAGTTATGTAATAATCTCTTATAGCAATGATTCATCTTCTTTATTTGCTTATCAGCATAATTATGGTAATGCCCAGAGACAAACACTGTCCAATTACAAAGAGGGGATTAGGATCTCTTGATAAAGCTGAAGGTATTGGGGATATGAAAGAGAAGTTTTGTGTTTACACATAGTATTCTTAAATAATTAGCCATTTATAGAGGAAAGGAGTAACAAGTATGCATGGGAGATAAGTCCATTTAAGTATCTTTCTACAGTGTTGATTCCTCTTGAGAATTCATCTTTAAATCCATGTGGTCTCAGTGTTCCATTCATATATATAGTCAGCACAATCTTTTCCCGCAGGCCTAAGATTAATGTCTCTTGGTTGTTGCCCTTCTTCATCGTAATTTAAATTGCTAAACAAACAGAATGAGGCTAGCATATGCATATGATCAAAGCTATTAGCCAGAAACAGAAATAAATAGATAAGTTAGTCATTAAGGCCATACTTTTGCAAAGGACAAGTATGGTTCCAACATCTTAGGGAAAATAATCAAATAGCTACATAATTGTGAAGTTGAAAACTTAAGAGATGCTAAACTTGTAAATACACTTTGTCAGACTGAAGAAATAGTCATGTCCTGATTATCAGACATAAGCAACAAAAACTATATTTTGAAGCCTATGGCTGCTAAAATATAACAATTGGAATGTGAACAAGGAAAAGAACTGGAGATTCTTACTATATTTTGGAATTGATGCATTTGGTATGCATGCTGTTCTATTGGTAGTGGTAGTGTTCTTTGTAAAATCTTTTCCTCCCACAAGGAAGCTGTATATAAACTTGTTATGGAAAGCAAACAGTTTTCAAAGGATGTTTCTTATTATGTTATAAGAATATGTCTGCCCTTTCAAAGTATATTTCTTATTACAAAGATGTACTTATGACTTTATATTGCAGTTTGAAGGTATTTTTTGTTTGCAATACATGTGTTTATCCAGATTATGATAAAGGAACAAAATAAACATGCTTTTGGATTGGGGGGGATGGATATAAAGAAAGGGTAAACTGAAAAGTAATATCCCATTTTTATACAACAGAACAATGGATCAAAACTTGATGGTGAAATGATAGGAAAGCCATCAAAAATGAAGTAGTGCTTAAAATCATACAGTTGCAGTAGATTTTTTCAAAATACAAGCTGTTACACTGTCTAAGCAAGGGAGAATTTAGTAGTCTAGTTTGAAGTATTCTAATTTATTTTGTTCCTCTTGCATAAATGCCTGGAAAAAATTGAAGTACAAATGTATGGTGTTTCTGATGGCTACTTATTAAATATTTGTTTTCTTTGCAGGGGAATTTTGTTGCAAGCATGACAGCAATTTTAAGACAAATGGAAGATTATCATTATGCTCATTTAATCAAGACTTTTGGGAAGATGAGATCCGATGTTGTTGTAAGTTCAGCTTGAAACACTTTTTTTGCCTCCTCCATGCATTGCTTGAGTTCTTGCTGGTATTTGATAAAGGAAGTTACAAAGCTGGAAAACTTTATTATGTGAACCACATGACCTGACATAAAAATCGATGAAGCATTGTTGTTCACCTTCTGAGCCAAGAGCAAAGATTGTATCATTGCCTTTGTATTAAATGACGAAGCAACTGATCCTCAAGGAAAGTCAAAATTTGAAAACGTGGCTTAAGTTATTGGAGTAGGGGAGGAGCAATTGATTTCTTACGTTTGAATCCAAACCTAAACTGAAAATAGCCTACAGTTCTGGGCAATTGGCTAATAACACTATTGCACTATTGGTTCAAACTCCTCCTTGAAACGTTTCTGTTACCTACATCTTTCTACCTCTTGTTTCTAGGTGATGCTTATCAGATTTCCCAAGAGCATTTATTTTCTTTGGATATTTATTTCTACAGTGCTATTTTATCCAGCATTACTTCACAAGCTGAGTTTTAAAGATATGTTTGATTATTGGTACCCATAATGAGTCAAACTCCTCAAGGTTCTTTCTAATCTTTTCTTTTTGAGTGTATGATACAACTTAATTAGAGCATCGTGGAAGGGAATTTATAGCTAAATAGATATCTCTCTAATGACCTGGAACTATCATTGCCATATGGCAAAATGCATGCTGCAAAGTAGCAACCAAACTTGTTGGCTGAGATCCATTAATTAGAAGATGACCTGAAGTCTGATCAACTGTGTTAGATTACAGACTCTGTTACCTGCGGGAGATAGGGTCTATGGTACTGCATTTTAAACAGTTTGAGAGAGAGAGATAGCTGAATATTCTAACTATATATTGTAGAGAAGAAGGACAGAATTAGAACTCCTCCATTTATGGCAAATGCAGTTCATATATTCTTTCGTTTCATCCATTTTGTTGCTTCGGAATGTAAGCAAGAGGAGAATAAATACCCATTTTCTTGACATAATCTTAGTAATCTGAGTTTAGGTTTCAGTTTAATAAAATACAGTAACCCAGGGATTCCCAATCTTTTTAAGTCCATGGGCACCTTTGAAATTCTGACACAGGACAGTGGGGACAATCACAAAATGGTTGTCAGAGAAGGCAGCGCTAGCCACAAATGTGAGGGAGTGAGATTATATATAACTCTAATAGTAACACTTCAGTTTTTTGGGCAGAAGCATTATTTAACAGGATGCCTTTTAATCCACACAGCCAATCAGAAGATCTGCTGGGCAAACACCCCACATGCCCCCCCCAGCATGATGTAATGGTTAAGAGCGGTGGACTCTAATCTGGAGAACTGGGTTTGATTCCCCATTCTTACACATGAAGCCTGCTGGGTGGCCTTGGACCAATCACAGTTCTCTTAGAACCTTTTTAGTCCCACCTACCTTACAAGGCCCCCTCATGGATCACTGCCTTGTCGTGGCGAGGGGGATTGTGTGGTTCGATGAGGCTGTGGGCTATGCTGTGGAGGGCCACCCAAGATGGACAGCCCACAGCAGAGAACTCAGACCAAGCATGATCCCCTGGAGAAGGTAATGGCAACCCACTCCAGTATGTTTGCCAAGAAAACCCCATGGACACTATCAAAAGGCTAAAAGATATGACGCCGGAAGATGAGCTCCTCAGGTCAGAAGGTGTTCAATATGCTACTGGGGAAGAGCAGAGGGCAAGTACAAGTAACCCCAGAAAAAGTGAAGCGGCTGGGCCAAAGCCGAAAGGACGCTCAGTTGTGGATGTGTCTGATTGTGAATAGGTTCATATAGGAGCAGGTTGTCCTTCAAATAACATGGTCCTGGGCTCTATAGGGCAAAGCTAGCATTTTGAATTACCATTGGAAGCAAACAAGTATCATGTTAAACTGTTAATCTTGTTAAACTGTTTGAGGAAAGCATGGTAGATCCTGGTTTTTAACCTGATGATCCTATTATGAACTAGTTGAAGCTTTTCACTGGTAGCCCCATGTGTTAGGTATTGTAGTACCATTACTTGGGTATGGTACTATTACTAGTACCATTAGTACTAGTACTATTACTAGTACCATTACCAAGGCATGGATACCAGTGGTAAGCACTAGAGCTTGTGCTGTTTATTTTGAAGTCCAAATATCTTTTAAGATAAAGCCCAATAAGGGACCTTTCAAGAAACACAAGAAATTATTTGCTAGCTAATACTCTTTCCTAGCAGAGAGAAAGCCCCAAAGACTGTCTGCCTCATTTTTATCTTGCTGTTCCCCAAGAATTTCAGGATGGCATATGGCGGTCTCATATGCTCTATTTTATCCTCATAACAATCCTGTGAGGTAGGCCACATTGAGAGAGACTAACTGGCCTCAGGAATTCTGTGAGCTTCATGGCTGAGTGGGGATTTGAACCAAAGTCTTCCCGGTTCTAGTCTGTCACTTGAATCACTTAACACTTATGACATTTTCTCATGCTCGATCAATACCTTTTCCTGCTCTGTAATATCCTTTTTGAGCTATTTAACAGACTTTTAACTAAATGCTTAGTTAATACAAAGAACTGACAACCAAGACTTTAAAAAGGCTTTTCACATGGTACCTCACCAAAGACCCTGAGTAAATTTAGTAGTCATGGAATAAGAGGTTGGGTTCTGTTATGGATTAAAAACTGGCCAAATGACAAGAAGCAAAAGTAGGAATAAATGGACATTTCTCTCAATGGAAGGAAGTAAGCAGTGGGTTCCCACAAGGATTGGTATTGGGGCCAGTGTTATTTAATTTACTCATAAATGATCTGGAACTAAAGGTAAGTAGTATATAGGGGTGTACATTCAGTAAAGCAGAACCAAAAAAACCCCCCAAAATTCATTTTCAGCATTTTTCAGGTATTCGGCAATAGGGATCAGATTCTCTGATCTGATTCAGCTGCCGAATACAGAATGCTGAATAAAAGCTGAAACTATTTGGCTTTAATTTGGCATTACTGAATTAGGCTCCCAGGGGGTTAAGCTTTAAAGGGATGCATTTTCCACTGTTTCTGTCTCTTTCTCACCCTTTGCTCTGCTTTCCAGAACGGAGGGGGAAGAGGGACCTTACATACAGCCAATCACTGCAATGCATTTGCAAATGGCATTGCAGCTTGCAAAGCTGTTGTTGCTGTGAGCTTCAAACTTGAAGCCCAACTACTAGCTTGCTTTCCCAGGGACAGGAGGGGGGAGGAGCACTGGCCAATAGAATTACAGGTAAAGGTGGGCACACTGCTCTTTGGCTAATCACAGAAGTTTGTTCTTTTTTGAGATTCTTCTGTGTATTGTTGTGATGATTTTGTGCTTAAGTTGACATCAGTCCTCCTGGACTGTGCGACTGAACAACAACCACCACCTCACAAGGTGCCTGTTGTGGAAGGGAAGGGAAGGTGATTGTAAGCCACTTTGAGACTCCTTAGGCTACAGTAAAGTGGGTTATAAAAACCAACTCTTGGAGTTAAAGGTGTCAGCAGTCATCATGGTGTCCATGGGCACCACGTTGGGGACCCCTGCAGTAACATCTCTTTGTTTATAGCAGTGTTTTTTTATTTAGCAATATTCAGTCAAACAAGTCGTAACCCATTTTCAGATCAAAGCGCTTTATTTTTTTTGTTAATCTATTCTCTATTCAAGGTTTCTGAATAAGACTTACTATATAGTTTTAAAGCTAGTCTGTAAATCACTTAAGGTGCTTCTTGCCAGCATAACACAGTATAAGTCCTGTGCAAACATGGAATTTAGGTACAGACCCTGCTTGATCCTAAACTCAGCAGTCTTCAGTGTGGGGCTCCCACCAGGAGGGGACAAGCATCATCCTATGCACAATAGGGATCTAGAATGGAGGTGGGGCAAGTTTCTCCTTTTTCATATCTACAGTGCACTTGCTATGTTCCCAGCTCTTTGGGGGCTTCTTTTCTCTTCTGAGAAAGCATTATAAGATGCTGACTGCATTATGACTGTGTACCAGACTGAAGACTGAACCGTTCATCCTACACAGAAAGCATGATAACTTGGATTTATCCTGTGAGAGAAAAATACGCCTTTACTGATATAAGTCTAGGATCCAACAGATCTCCAGACTGCAGTTTTGATGTTCACAAAGGTTTCTTTAGTACCAATACGATCTAAGCTTCAAAAACCCATTAATTGCCCTCTCATAGTTATTGAAAGTGTCTTCCACATTACAATGATTCTTGGAAGCTTTCTCATTGCTGCTGTGACTGCTGATTCAGTGTAGTAGCAACAGGACTTCCATGTTGTGGTTTGCCCATGTTTTCTCTGCCCAAAATCCCCATGGTCGTTATCCCCTCCCCGGGCATTATCAGGGGGCTTTTAAAATATATATGCTTCCCTCCACAGTCCTCAAATCATCGTATAAACAAATATTTAAATAATGCAAAGACAAAACACTGTTTAAAAATAGTTAAATTATAGATAAAATTACCCCCATACTATGCTGCCAAGGCTTGGAGTAAAAAATTGTTTTCACTTGTTGCCTAAAGGCAACAAAGTATGTGCTTGGTTGTGGATAGACAACTGTGGTCATCGTACCAGTGCAGAAAATGGCATTGGTAATCACCTACCTAACTGTTGGAAAGGAAGATACACAGTGCCATCTTACTAAATGAATAGGTTCATATAGGAGCAGGTTGTCCTTCAAATAACATGGTCCTGGGCTCTATAGGGCAAAGCTAGCATTTTGAATTACCATTGGAAGCAAACAAGTATCATGTTAAACTGTTAATCTTGTTAAACTGTTTGAGGAAAGCATGGTAGATCCTGGTTTTTAACCTGATGATCCTATTATGAACTAGTTGAAGCTTTTCACTGGTAGCCCCATGTGTTAGGTATTGTAGTACCATTACTTGGGTATGGTACTATTACTAGTACCATTAGTACTAGTACTATTACTAGTACCATTACCAAGGCATGGATACCAGTGGTAAGCACTAGAGCTTGTGCTGTTTATTTTGAAGTCTAAA